GGAGGGAGATATTAACCTATAAGAGAACAGCGCAGCTACCAAACAAACATGAAATTTCATTTCTCCGACATTTCCACCAATCAGACCTATATCAACAAATATTTGCCAACATATTGCAACAGTGATTGCCTCCAACACAGAAAAATTGACTGCGTCCCAGTGATGCTGTGTGTATTGTAGCCGCTGCGCTGACAAACACACTACTGTCACCTGCGTTGACACACATTACTGTCACCTGCGCTGACACACATTACTGTCACCTGCGCTGACACACATTACTGTCACCTGCGCTGACACACATTACTGTCCCTTGCGCTCTGCGATACACAGGTTAGCGGAAGGTGGTACGAGCCTGCAGTCACTGCTAGTGCTCACCCTCCTAGCTCTAGTGCCTCACGTAATAATAATAATAATAATAATAATAATAATAATAATAATAATAATAATAAACATTATTATTATTTTTATTATTATTAATATTACAATCATCATTGTTATTGCTATATTATTACTGCTACTACTGCTGCCATTGCTGTTGTTGCTCCATATATATATATATATATATATATATATATATATATATATATATATATATATATATATATATATATATATATATATATATATATATATATATATATATATATATATATATATAATATATATATATATATATATATATATTCAGGGAGAGAGAGACTATGCATGTGTATTCATTTTGTTTTGCATATTTTAATGGTCACAGGATATATACATGGAGATTTGTATATAAATGTATATACACAGAGAGGTTTAACTTATCATATTGTTAACTGATGGTGAAGAGGTGATATACAACCTTAACTGGTAGTGAAGAGGTGACATACAACCTTAACTGATGGTGAAGAGGTGACATGCAACCTTAACTGATGGTGAAGAGGTGACATGCAACCTTAACTGGTAGTGAAGAGGTGACATGCAACCTTAACTGATGGTGAAGAGGTGACATACAACCTTAACTGATGGTGAAGAGGTGACATGCAACCTTAACTGATGGTGAAGAGGTGACATACAACCTTAACTGATGGTGAAGAGGTGACATGCAACCTTAACTGATGGTGAAGAGGTGACATGCAACCTTAACTGATGGTGAAGAGGTGACATACAACCTTATCTGATGGTGAAGAGGTGACATGCAACCTTAACAGATGGTGAAGAGGTGACATACAACCTTATCTGATGGTGAAGAGGTGACATACAACCTTATCTGATGGTGAAGAGGTGACATGCAACCTTAACTGATGGTGAAGAGGTGACATGCAACCTTATCTGATGGTGAAGAGGTGACATACAACCTTATCTGATGGTGAAGAGGTGACATGCAACCTTAACTGATGGTGAAGAGGTGACATGCAACCTTAACTGATGGTGAAGAGGTGACATGCAACCTTAACTGATGGTGAAGAGGTGACATACAACCTTATCTGATGGTGAAGAGGTGACATGCAACCTTAACTGATGGTGAAGAGGTGACATGCAACGTTAACTGATGGTGAAGAGGTGACATACAACCTTAACTGGTAGTGAAGAGGTGACATGCAACCTTAACTGGTAGTGAAGAGGTGACATGCAACCTTAACTGGTAGTGAAGAGGTGACATACAACCTTAACTGGTAGTGAAGAGGTGACATGCAACCTTAACTGGTAGTGAAGAGGTGACATGCAACCTTAACTGGTAGTGAAGAGGTGACACGCAACCTTAACTGGTAGTGAAGAGGTGACATGCAACCTTAACTGGTAGTGAAGAGGTGACATACAACCTTAACTGGTAGTGAAGAGGTGACATGCAACCTTAACTGGTAGTGAAGAGGTGACATGCAACCTTAACTGGTAGTGAAGAGGTGACATGCAACCTTAACTGATGGTGAAGAGGTGACATGCAACCTTAACTGGTAGTGAAGAGGTGACATGCAACCTTAACTGATGGTGAAGAGGTGACATGCAACCTTAACTGGTAGTGAAGAGGTGACATGCAACCTTAACTGATGGTGAAGAGGTGACATACAACCTTAACTGATGGTGAAGAGGTGACATGTTTGGCATGCAAAGAGTACGTAACCTTTATTCGGCACATGTACACACCCTCAGCGAACCAGCGAACCAGGGGACTGAGGGTTGATGATGGGGCCCCGTCGTTCAATCAGTACCCAGGTTCCAGCCAATGAGAAGATGGTTTTGACAATCGCAGAGGTTATGTGGGTACCACTCTCCTGTCTGCCCTTGTCATTCCCATTCTAGAGCTAGTTGAAGCACAGTCTGCTCTCTAGTGGCTTGTATTCTGCCTTGCTTACCGTGGAGTGCACTAATACCTATTGTTGTACATAATGTATTGTGTACATACTTCTGTTCTAAATTGGTAAAGGATAATATAAGTCAAAAGTTTTCTGCTGTGTTTATTTTGCTCCCTTTACACCCAGGATAACAGGCCATTTGGACTCCTGGGTTGTAATAACATGCAACC